GAGGCCTGGAAAGGTGGCCCCCGCCTGGCAGGGCCCTAGGCAGGGAGGTAGGAATAGGCACTGTGGAGGCTCCTGGTGGGCCGCGAGGGTGGCAAAGGCCCCTGCAGGCTGGCAGAGCAGAAGATGAGGGTTCAAAGGGGCTGGATGGGTGGGGGGGTGACCTTATTTGCCAAGACCTGTTGGGAGGGGCCCAGACAGCAGCCACATGGTCCCATGGAGGAACCAAGAGACACGGAACACACTCTTAGCAAGGTGACGGTTGTTGTGGCAACAGGGACAGACCTGGTGGCTCCTCCAGGGAGCAGGGAGACCCGAATCAGCTCACCTTCAGGGTTCTTTCCAGTGCCAAGAGCAGGAAGGCCTCCAACGTTCCAGCACCTGCGGCCTGTGCCCCCAAACCTCAGAGGAAGTGCCTCTAAGAAAAAAAAATCCTTTTTTTTGGCACAGGGGTGGGGGTGGGGATGGGGGCAGGGAGGTCACATCCAGTGATGATCAGGGGTTATGCCTGGCTCTGCACTCAGGAACTACTCCTGGCAGTGCTCAGGGACCCTCTGGGGTCTGGGGATCCAGCCCTCCCCACCGTGCTATCATCACTCCCCCCCATCCCCCCAACCCTTCCCGCTTCTTCTAAACAGACCCTTCTAGGCCTGCGGTTTCTATTCTGGGTGTGCGGTTTCTTCTCATTTTTAACCTTTTGTTATTGTATAAAAAATGTATTTTCCACGTCAGTTGACCACATTCACTTAGTGTAATCTTCTGTTTCCTGAACAGTTTTAAAATTCATTTTATAATCTTTTCGGTTTGTTTTCTGGGCCACATCTGGTGGGGCTGAGGGTTTACTCGTGGTTCTGCAGGCAGGAATTACTCCTGGGTGGTGCAGGGGACCATAGTGGGTGCCAGGGATTGAATCCACATTGGTCACGTGCAAGGCAGATGCCCTACCTGTTGTACTATCACTCCAACTCCACAAATTAATTTTTTTGATTTATGATCAGTTTGTTTTTGCTTCTGCACCAGGCCTGGGCACCATGGTCTGGGTAACAAACTCAGGCTTTCCGCCCCCCCCCCCACCCCCCCACCAAAATATGTGTTCAGCCATTTGCAATTAAATGGTTTTAATTTAAAAAGTTAAAAACATCAGCCAAGCGGCACAAATGCTGGCCGACTTTGAACGTGAGTGTGGAAAGGTAGGACTACAGCTGAATCTTACGAAGACAATGTTTATGAGAAACAGCCTCGTTCCTGACGCCCCATTCGCTCTCAACGGAATGACCATCTCCGAATGCAACAGCTATGTCTACCTAGGTCGAGAGGTCAACATGACAAATGACCTGGCACCCAAGCTGCACAGGAGGAAGAGAGTGGCTTGGAGCGCCTTCAAGAACGTCGAAGAAATAGCTAAGAGGACGAAGAACCTCTGGCTCCGGGCACATCTCTTTGATTCCACTGTTCTTCCTGCATTAACGAGACCTGGGCCCTACGCAAACAGGATGAGAACGCTATTCGGGTCTCCCAAAGAGGAATTGAAAGAGCTATGCTTGGAATATCACGTTTCACTCAAATGAGAGAAAGAATCCCGGAGTTTTGACCTCCGTCGACGATCAAGAATCAGGGACGCTGTCTCATTTGCCAAGGTGTCAAAAATCAGATGGGCTGGTCACGTAATGAGATTTAAAGACGACCGCTGGACTAGAGCTGTTACCGACTGGATTCCACGGGATGTCAAAAGACCGCGTGGTCGCCCACCTACCAGATGGTCAGACTTCTTCATCAAGATCATGAACGATCGGTTTGAGGCTCTTCATGTTCCCAGAGCGAACAGATGCCATTGGGCTACACTAGCACGCGACAGGGACAAATGGAGACATTACTGGCGCCCGCTCGAGCAAATCGACGACTAACGGGAAGTTAAGTGATTGAGTGATTAATTTAAAAAGTTGGGGGAGAGGAAGAGCTGGGGTGGTAGTACAATGGGTGAGGCTCTTGGCTTATGTGTCGTTGACCCAGGTTCCATCCCTGGCATCCCCTGTGATCCCTGGAGTGCCGCCAGGAATGATTCCTGAGAGCAGATCCAGGTGTAACCTCTGGGTGTGGCCCCCTACCAAACAGAAAATTGGGGGGAGGAGAACATCTGGATGGTGCTGGGGGAACTTGGTATGCTAGCATGTCCTTTGGATATGGTGGTCACACGTGGCCAGCGCCTTGTGTGTTCCACTTCCACCCCCTAGCCACACCCTTTGCTCCTCCAGATTTTTTTTCTTCTTTTTTGTTTTTTCAGCCACACCCTGTGGTGTTCAGGGCTTACTCCTGGCCACTCAGGGATCACTCCTGACAGTGCTCAGGAGGCCTTTTGGGATGCTGGGGATTGAACATGGGTCAGCCACATGCAAGTCCAGTGTGCTATCGCTCTGGCCCCTCCAGAATATTTTAAAAATGAAACTGTTTCCATTAAAGCATTGACTCTGGCACTGCAATTTGTGCTAAGCCACAATCAAGAACTAACCACTGGTGGGACACACTGGGTCAACGTGTTACTTCCTTTCCTCAGCCCCTGGCACCTAATTCTACTTCCCATCTCTAGAACCTGATACAAGTGTAAAGCATTTTGTGTGCCTAACCTATGTCATGTAGCTCATTGTTTTTAAGGATGGTCCATGTGGTGGTCTATGTCAGATCTGCATCCCTGTATTTAAAAGAAATCAAGCGTGTGTGTGTTGGGGGGGGCAGTTACACAGAGACCACTCCTGGGATCGCTCAGAAATCCTCCTGCTGGTGCTTGGGGAACCCTGTGCAGTACCAGGGGCCAAACCAGGGCTGGCTGTGTGCAGGCAGATGCCTTCCTTGCTGTACTCAAGGGTGAGCCATTCATTCCTCCCAAGTATGCCCTTCCTTTGTGACAACTCTGCTTGCAATCAAGCTCAGCTCCAGGATGACTGGTGAAAGGCGGCGTGGTGAGGTGTCTCAGCTCTCAGCAGCTTTTTTGTTCTGTGTAAAGTGAATGAGTTCTGAGCTGTCATTTAAATACCCCTGAGTGAGGGTTGGGTGAGGACTCCATGCACCCGTGTGCCAGGCATTGCCAGGTGTGCCCCACCCACTCCAATGAATACCCCAGCAAGAGTGCTCTATCTAGCTGTGAAGTGTGTTGTTTTGGGGCCCCACCACCCCTTACTCCTGACTCAGGATCACTCTTAGCGGCCTCAGGGGACCATATGGGGTGCCCTGGATGGAACCTGGGTCAGCTGCACGCCAGTGGCCATTCAGGGCCAGTGACCACCTGAGATCTGACCCACAGTTTCCAGTATGTAACATGTGCATCAGAGTCACATGGGGCTGGGAGAGAAAGCACAGCATGTAGGGGCCTTGCCTGGCACGCGGCCAACCCAGGTTCAGTCCCTGGTACCACATGTGGTTCCCAGAGCACCTCCAGGGCAATCTCTGCATGCACAGAGCCAGGGGCACTCCTGGGTGCCCATTCCACCCCCCGCCCCCAGTGAATTGCATAAACAAATATGGTTTTCTTGTGTTCCCATCATAGCTGGACCAGACGGCTTAGATTTGGCTCACAGACCACTCGTTCCCTTTCACTAAAGAGCTCATTTAAAGACTGGAGAGGTACTACAGAGGGCCAGGCTATAGGGGGTCTAGCTGTGTTGATCCTGGCGCTATAAGGATCGATTCCCCAGCACAGAATCAGGTATAAGACCTAAGCACAGCCGGGTGTGCCCTCAACCCTTGGGACAAAGCAAAAACAAACCAACAAGGTCTTACTGCAGCTTTATTCATTCAGGCCATAAACGTTTACTGCGTCTGGGTTGCAGACAGGGTATACGTACAAGGAAAGGTATGGCTTGGAATACAGGACAGAGAGACAGACATACAAGAGACAGGTACAAATGCTGGGACAGCAAAGATAATAAAGATGAAGGTTTACGAAGCGCCTGGTGGGACCCGGGGTTTTTAAGAGCTCTGCAAGTATCAACTCAGTTAAGCCTTTACAGCAATGTCATAAGCATGAAGACACCGTCTCAGCAAATAAGGCTCAGACAGGGGGTGGGGGCATCGCTGAGCAAGGTGCCCAGGGAAGAAGCCTTCAGACCAGGTTTGAACCCAGACTGGTTGCAGGTTGCAGAGTCCACGGGCTTGACAGGAAGCAGGGGAGGGTATGAGGACTGCCAGGCGCGGGGACCCTTTTCCTCTTTTTTTTGGTGTGCCCCACCGTGCGGTGCCCAGAGCTTACCCCTGGCTCTGCTGGGGACCATATGGGATGTTGGGGATGGAAGCTGGGTTTATGCGTGCAAGGCCAGCGGCCTCCCCGCTGCACTGATCAATCAGTCCCCTAAGAGCGGTGACTTGGGACTGGTTTTAAAGAGTGATTTTCGGCCGGGATGCAGATGGATGCGGGCGTAGGGAAGTTTGGGGCCAGCTGATCACTGACCACGCATGGCAGGAAACGAGTCTCCCATGCCACCTAGCCAACAGCTCTTTGGCAGGGACAGCTGAAATCTCAGAACCAGCTGCGAGAAGACGGAGGTCGAAGCCCACGGGCGTTCACAGCTTCCAGATGGCCAGGCGCTCGAGCAGCTAGGACGCCCGGGCCCCTGGTAGCCGCCGGTCAGCCCGCTCGCGGGGCGGCCGGGGACCACAAGTCCCGTCATGCAGCGGGGCGAGCTGGGAGTCCGCGCAGCCCCGCCCTCTTAGGGCCGCGCCCCACAGACAGACCACGCCCTTTCAGGCCACGCCTCCACCCAGGCCACGCCTCATTCAGGCCTCTCCCCGAAGGTCCCGCTCCCCGCAGGCCCCGCCTCCCCCAGTGAGGCCTCTCCCCGCAGGCCCCGCCTCCGCAGGAAGGCCCCGCCTCTTATGCAGGCTCCGCCTCCTTCAGGCAGCTCCCCGCAGGCCCCGCCCTGCAGACAGGCCCCGCCTCCGTCAGGCCGTCCCCGCAGGCCACGCCCCCACAACCCCCGCCCCCATCAGGCCCCGCCCCCGGCCCCCTCCCGCCCCGTCCGCCGCGGAGTCGCCCGCCCGGTGGCCGCGGCAGACGGAGGCCGAGCGGGAGCCGCGGCGGCGGCGGCGGCAGGATGGGGGACTCCAAAGTGAAAGTGGCCGTCCGGATCCGGCCCATGAACCGCAGAGGTGAGCGCCCCCCGCGCCCGCGCCCGCGCCGCCGCCGCCGTCGGCCCCCGGCCGGCAGGTGCCTGACGCGCGGGGTCCCTGGGCCGGCCCGGCCGCAGCTGTCAGCGCCGCCCCCGCCGCCGCCCGGACCCCGGGCCCGGCCGGGAGAGCCGGGGGGGGGCTCCGGGGGGCGGCCGCGGGGGGGACACCGGGCGCGCCCCCAGCGCCCGCCCCGCCCCGCGCCCGGGGACTTGTTGAGAAAGTTTTTGTTGTTGCCCCGAGTCCTATTCGTCATCCCCAACAATAAATAGTGGAAGTGCCAAGATTCTTGTGAAACTGTATCTTTCAGGCCGTCTCCCGGGCGGCTGATAACCCGGGGGCGCGGCCGAGCCTGCGTGGACGCGGCCGGGGGGCTGCGGGGCGGGGCCGGGCCCGCGAGGAGGTCAGGGCTCGCTGCTTGTTGTTTGTTTGTTTGTTTGGGGGCCACGCCCGGCGGTGCCCAGGGCTCCCTCCTGGCTCTGCACACAGGGCTCACTCCGGGGGCCCTACGGGGTGCCGGGATCGAACCCGGGGTGGCCGCGTGCAAGGCAGGCGCCCTCCCCGGGACACGGGGATCGAGTCCCTTAAGTGCCAGTCACGTTTTCCAGTATGGCCCAAATCGGATCGGGGTGGACACTCGGAATTGCGCCCCCTGTGGTTCTCCCCCCCCCCCCGCGCCCCCCTTCCCCGCCCACCCCCTCCGTGTGTGCGTGTGCGTGTGTGTGTGTGCACAGACTCACACTGGAACTGGTCAGGGACAGGAGCTTGGGCCTCTGTCCCGGCCTTGGACGGCCACGTCTGTCCAAGTTGCCTTTTCCTGCTTGGGAGTCAGCGCTTCCTCCCGTGGACAGGCCTGTCTTCAAGGCCTGTCAGGTGGCTTGCAAGAGTTTCCCCCTAAGCATATTGTGACTTTTATGTTGTCCGTGTGTGTGTGGTAGGGGGGCGCAAGTTTAGGGTCTTGACCTGGCCAAGGGTCTCGCCTGCTTTGGCCAACACAGCGCCTCCTTGAGTTCAGAAAGTTTCCCGAGGAGTCTCCGGTAACCGTGCAGGTGATTATTTCAGTTGGCTCCAAGTTTATCACCATAATTGGGGGGGTGGGGGTGGGGTGGGGTAGGACACAAAGCAAAAACCCCAAACTGAGCCTCCCAGAGCTCAGTTTCTCTGGGATTTGCTTCTGAAACCATGTTTCTGGCACATTCTTCAGTGTTCCTTTGCAGAAATAGTTTAAACCACCCCCCTACACACACACACACACACACACACACACACACACACCCCTCTCCCAGGGTTGCAGTTTTAATGTATCAGTCATCTCTGTTGGGTCATCATTGCCAGCATCCCAGTTTGTAACTGTGCAGAGCACGTTCGATTGTGATCATTTTAGCTGTTCCTTAAGCTGAGCTCACCTAAAAATTAAGGGGCATACGTGGCCCGTAAATAGAACCTCTGGTTTCACAGCTCGGGGGAACCCTCTCCCCTAGCCTGGATCCTGAACACATGTCTCTTCAGCGACCACTGCATGTGCTGTTCCATCTATTTTGAGGTGAAGTTGTAGTTTCCTTGAATCTGGTTCCTAGGGAATCCAGTAGTGGACTTCTAAAGTCAGTGATTTAAAAACTACTTGCTTTTGTGAAAGTTTGCGTAAAAAAGCTGACACAAAACCATATTCCTTTCCAGTAATTTTTGAAAAGAACCCCATTACTTTAACCAATTAATTGTTGCTTCTGGGAAATGAATGTATTAAGTAACAGTGTGTAATTATGACAAATAATAGTCTTTTCATCTTAATTATTTTTCTCGTCATATGAGTGCAGGCAGCACCCTCAGGAATCACCCTTTATAAAGTGCGGTGAGAATGACTTACTGGACAGACTCAGATTTTGGAATTGCATTAGCTGGTGGAGTCGAAGGAAAGTTTGGGATTTTTGAGATGCTTCCTTAAGTTCTTCATGGGGCTTCTGTGTTTAGGTGTTAAGATAGTGGCTTATTATTAAGGATTTATCAAAGAAGTAAGGGACTGGAGCGATAGCACAGCGGTAAGGCGTTTGCCTTGCAAGTGGCCGGCCTGGCCGAGCTGGGTTCGATTCCTCCGCCCCTCTCGGAGAACCCGGCAAGCTACTGAGAGTATCTCGCCCTCATGGCAAAGCCTGGCAAGCTACCCGTGACGTATTCGATAAGCCAAACACAGTAACAGGAAGTCTCACGATAGATACATTACTGGGCCCGCTCGAGCAAATCGATGAACAACGGGAGAACAGTGCTACAGTGCATCAAAGAAGTAAGAATATTCCAGTTTTTATTCGTTGATGCTAAATTACATGTGGGTTTTGAAGGTCAGAGATTTAAACATTAAGCATTAGGCCCCAGATCAATCATAGGAAGAGCTGTAATGGCTAATGAATACGCTTTTTGCCGGGGTTTTATTTCTCTAGTTATACATTTTAGTCTTATTCTGACAAAATAAAAAGGAAAAACTCTAACAATTCCCGTGCTCATTTTAAATTTCCCATTCTAATATGTGTGCCAGGGCTGCCATTTTACAGAGTTTGACTTTATTTTGATTCTGTGCTCAGGGGTTACTCCCAGCAGTGCTGGTGGAGGAGGAAATGTGTGGAACCAGGGTCCAACTGGACCTGGCTGCTTTCAAGGCACTGCCTTAACCTCTCAACTGTCTCTCTGTTTTGTTTTTTGGGGGGGCACACCCAGTGATCCTCAGGGGCTACTTGCTGGTGCTTGGGAGTCCCTTTTGCCAGTGCTTAGGGGTCCTGTGTTAACGGAGATCTAACCTCGGCCTTGCTCATTGAGTTATCACTCCTGTCCCTCCCATAGTTCAATATTACAGTTTTGAAATAGATTACAGTTTTGTTTGCCTATTCTTCATCTGCTGTATGTATAAACAGCTGAGGGAACGGGTACACTTGTTTTATCATGAGATCTTGAACTTCTACATGCATTGTCTTTTCGTGTTCTCTCTCTCAGACTCTTAGACTGCACCTGGGAACTAGTTGTATGTGTCCATGTACTGTAAAGAACACCCGCCTATCCATTATTGACCAGCCTAATTATTCAGTGAGCCTAAAGTTTTACAAGTATAATTAACGATACTAGCTAGATCACTGACCTTTCCTTCTTGTTCAGGAATTTGACGCTTTATAACTTGAGGTGGTTTAGAAAAGACCTCCTATTTCTTGAGTGCCTGCCAGATCCACGTCTGGCTTCTGTTAGCAGCTAGTGCGGGCCCTTCCTCTGGGACTTCCCAACTTAAAATATGGGTAAGGCCAATTACCAAAACAGATAAATCTATTTTCACAGTGTTTGGGAAATACCTTTGCTATCTCCCTGGCCCGAGGTGGTGAAACCAGAAATGACACCTGAAACTGAGCTGAAAGAACAACAATGAACTGGGCTTCTGGGTGTGAGGGTGCAGGTGAGGAGTCAGTGCCACAGGTAGCACTTTGCAGCCTCTGACTCACGCAAGACCCAGAGGACATGTGATGCCTCATGGAAGTCTGCGCTTAAGGAAATCAGGACCAGTGCAGTGAGCCGCTTAGCAGGATGAAAGTCAGAAGCACTTAACAGGACGGCAGGACAGGGAGAATTCAGGAGTGCTGTGTTTAACTGTAGGACGGACTCTGCTATTATGGTTATGACTATGTAAAGGCGGAAGCATGAACGGGCCTGGGCTAGAAGGGAAGGTGAAAAGGGGAGATGGCTGGGGAAGGTCGGGGGTTCAGTCTCCTACAACCAGCTCCGAGTGTTGGGGGGAGTATTCAGGTTTCCTCAGTGCCCTCGATGGTTCCTGCTCTGGAGGAAGTGACAGTCATGTGAAAAGATAAGATGAGAAGGTAAACAGCTCCGCTGCTGATTGCTGGTTATTAAGTACCAGGTGAGCGATAGGGCAGCTTAGGAATCCAGGGCTGCAGCCTGGTCATTAGAGGCCTCTGCGGTGGGGGAAGTGGGGCAGGCCCCAGGGAGGTCGGGAAGGGGGTCAGGGGGAAGGAGTCTGGGCAGGCCGCCTGCCCGAAGAGGGCTGTGGACCAGCAGGTGCCCAGAGACATGCTGGCCAAAACGGGGCGGCTGGGACCTGGGCCCGGAATCTGGGGGCGGGTGGGCCCTGTGCTCCAATTGGAGCCTGAGGCAGGCTTGATAGTGTGTCCATGTCTGGTTCAGGGTCCAGCAGGCACAGCCCCTTTCACAGGCTGTGGTGAAAGAGGGCCCTGGAAGCAGGAAGGAGGAGAGAATGTCAAACCCAGAGAGCCAGGTAAACTGAGGCATCGACTCGCAGTCGTTGGAGAGCTCACAGGGAATAAACAGGGGTCCTGAGGGATGGAAGCACGCACTTGACTGTGGTTGTTCTCTGGGCAGTGCTGGGGACGGAAGCCAGGGCCTCACCCATGAGAGGCAGGTGCTCTGCCTCTCGGCCCCACTGCAGCGCCTGTGTTTCGGCCCAGGTGTTGGGGGGGGGTGTGGGTGACGTGCACGCTGGTCGGCGTCCCAGAGGGATAACTGAGCCTCCATTAAGGATGACTGGATGGAAATTTCTGACATGTTCTCAACAACAGAAGATACTTGTTTCACCAGCAACTGCTCGATTTGCTAATGGGAATGAGGCCCATTGCTCACAACATTCCTTTGTCTCTACCTTTAACTCAGTCAATGCAATTGGAATTTATACTTGAGGGCAAGAGGTCTTTTTATTGAGAAATTTTATTTCAGGGCTGAGCGGGACTATAGCAGCTGGGGGGTCTTCCTTGCATATGGCCCACCTGGCACCACATAGGGCCTCCTGAGCTCCCAGGCGTGGTACCTGAGTGAAGAGCCAGGAGTAAGCTCTGAGCACCCATGGATGTGGGCCAAACCCACCCCCCACCCCAATTTATTTTGGGCCATCCCCAGCAGTGCTTTGGGCTTCTGACTCTGCTCTGCGGCCAATCTTTTTTTTTTTTTTTTGCTTTTTGGGTCACACCCAGCAATGCTCAGGG